ACAGGGCGGAGCCGAGGCCAACTGGGGCCTCTGCCCCTGCCGGGTCTCTCACAAGCTGTCCAGCCCTAGAACATCGCCTCGCCAGACACCATCCCGGCCTGCCCCGCAGCCCAGGGGATTTGCCGCATTATTCCTCTTCTCCTGCTTCTCTCTTTCCAAACCCCGGCCCCTCATTGCTCATCCTCGGGAAAGACGGCCGGGCTGGGAGGCAGCGGGAGCGCCACAGGGCGGGCAGCACCGACCATCGCCTCTCGTCCCTGCGGAGCCGGGGACGAGGGGGGAGGCAATCAGGACTCGAATGTTCGGGAATACACAGTCTCCTTCCGCCCTCCAGTTTCGGCCTCCACAAGAGAGCGCGAGCCAAGGAAGTAGGGCTTTTTCTTGTTGACATCTGACCTATGACAGAGTGTCCCTGCTGGGAATGAGAGCGGGGGAGCCCGGAAAGCGATCGCGCACCCTGACATCCACCTGCAGAAGGAGCATCCTATGGTTGCTCCATTTCCACCTCTCTCTTAAAAGAGTGACTGAAGGAAACAGGAAGAATGACCCCCGAACCGGCCGACCTCCCCACAACCAGTCCAGAAGGGCGAGCGAAGTCGCTCCCATAAGGTCAGCCCCTTGCTGGGCAAAGGGCCCCGGAGGAGCAGCCCGGGGGCTCCCGCCGAGCAGCGCCCGGTCGCGCTGTCCCGCCGCCGGCTCTCGGCGGCCATCACCATCCATCCAAGTCACCTCCTGTCCACCCGACACGGGAGCGCTCCCCGATAGCGGGTCCCTGTTGTCAAAGGCGAAATATTCCCTGGGCGCCCACCGAGTGTCCTGCAGAGGGCAGAGGCTGCTCGCTTTCCGCAGCCCGTTCCGCGGGCTATTGACCAAGGACTTTTAAATCCATACCCAGCTTCAACATTTTACCCGTCAGCACGTCTGCGGTCACAAAACACTTCTTCTTTCTGTCACTTCTCTTCGAAACTATTGATAAGATCATTTAGCTGAATCTGTTCGGGATGAGTATAATATTGACTAGAAGTTAGAAAAGATGATTAAATCTAATAAGCCTAGAAACTATCGTGAATGGGGTGGGGGGGAGGAGAAGAACAGGATATCTTATCTAGGAAACTGAGCCAGCCAAAAAGGACCTAAAAACTCCACTGCGTATGCGAACACTGCCCAGCTGGATGTCACTCGCCAGCGCACCAGTCCCGCGTGTGCCCAGCTGGGACTCCTCCGAGAAAAACCGACCAGGTCGTTACAGACACGGAGCCGCAGACGCCTATAATGTGAGAGCCCCGGCCCTGTCGGCTCGGGGCCGTCGCCGCGGGGGCCGGGGCCCGGCTCGGCCCGGGGGTGCGCAGCCCCGCCGGGCAGCCGCATTCTTCCTCCTGCAAATGGTACTACCATCATTAAGCCCCGCCTTTTTGTTTTTCTTTTTTTCTTTTTCTCTCTCTCCTTTTTTCTTTCTTTTTTTTTTTTTTTTTTTTTTTTTTTTTTTTTAAAGAATCAGATCTTAAATTATCAAGGAGACCGAGAAGAATTGAGTCTCTTCTCCACCATGCCTTCAGCCAGAATATGCAACCAACTTGAGGAGTAGATCTAGCAGATCTCCCCACCAGCATCAAAGGCAGGACACCCCTACTCGCACAGAAATCAATGCTCCAAAACACACGGCTGCGGTTCATCTGCGGAGAGACACAATGAACACAGTTTCTGAGGCTCTCCTTCAAGACCCTGAAAGTTATGAGCATGGAACCTCTCAGTATAGGCATCAAATTTATTCCAAAAATTCCATGAAATATAAAGGAATGGCGGTGCTTTTACACAGAACTCAACTCAGTATAAGTACTGGGGTCTTCTCCTTCCAAATCTTAAGAACTATGCAAATCTGTGCTATCTTTAAAAATAAAATAACGATATTTCAATAATTAGAAGAAACTATGAAGGTATTGTGCATTTCTGTTTATGTAGATAATAAAATATTACTTTAACATAAATATATAAGGATCTCTGCGTTTTTATTTTTCCCCACAAGCACATCCAAATGTACCAAAACAAAGTATTTTTAAAGAGACTGAACCAAAAAAAATTACATCCCATATAGATTTTGTTCACCTACTCATTTAAAGCTACAGAAAAACAGTTTCCAGAACCTGTTTGCTTTAAAAGAAATAAATATACATTGAGGCAGGCCACTTAAAAATGATATGAAAATATTTCCCTGGGTAGCATTTAAAAAAAAAAGAAAAATAGACAAAGAAAACATTGAAACTATTTCTGCATTTCAAAGGACAAATATTAAACATATATACATAGTGGTAAGGTTTGCGTGGTAACTTTTTTTTTTAGTAAACCTATTTGGAGTTTGAGGCTTTTTCAAACATCCTCTTGACTCCGTTTTCTGACCTTACGCACGTATTAATAAGTGTCTGAAAGTTCATTTCCTCCCTTTACCACTGGATCTGCCCTGATCTGATTCACTTCACTAGGCGCTAGTCCTCAACACTTTAAATAACAAGCAGCTCAACAACAACAACAAAAAGAAAAACAAATAAACAAACAAACAAACAAACAAAAACAAAAAAGAAAGAAAGAAAAGAGAAAAGCTTGGTGCCCGTATCTTTGTAACAATTGTTGGAAAACCAGGAAAAAGGCTAATGCATGTGCCTCTTAGAAATCATCATCTGTCTTACCAAGAAGAGAGAAAGAAAGCAAGAAAGAAAGGGAGAAAGAAACAAGGAAAGAAAACCCAGTGTCACAGGCGTTTTAAAAGACAATGAGAAACATATTCTAAAGCCTTAGCTACTGAATGCAATATTTATAGGAGAGTTCTGCGAGAGAATGCTTCACTGTTTTTTCTCCATAATTGTCCAACACTCAACTAAGTAAACTTTTAGATTATAAAAATGCTTTGTCTCTATAGCACCCATTTGTGCTGACTAAACGATCCCTTTATGAATTTATAACTATCATAGTTTAAAGTTCCTCTAATGTATATGCATAGCTGTGTGTGTGCATAAGTACACAAACACGCACGCAGACACACGCACATACATGCGCTGCTCCAAGGTCCCGCTCCTCTGCTTCCCTTCAGAGCTTTTTGTTTTCCTTTTTTTTCCTTTTTTTTCCTTTTGTCCCCGTAGGTTTTTCTCTTTTTTGGGGGGGGGGGGGGGGGAAGTTGACCATTTCCCATCAAGATAATGTCACGAAATGCACTTTAAAACTATTAACAAAGGGGTGGAAAAAAACACGGATTGAAAAATGGCATTTTTTTCCCCACTTCATTTCATTCCCCAGTGAAAGACACAAGGCTGCCCAAGTTAAAACTGTTCCTTTCCTTCAATAAATTATACCACAATCTGACCAAAGGACAAGGGGAGGATGGGGAGGGAGAGGGGCTGGATACGAATAGAAAATAAAATACGAAAATTAAAAATGGGAAAGAAATGCACACGGTCTCTGCGGAGAGGAGGGGGCAGTGTGTGTTTACAGGCAGTCGTAAGCACCCGACCCCCACCTCGGGCCCAGCAGCTCCTCAGGCTCTCCTTGGCTCTGCCTTAATGCGAAACCGCTCAATGAAAGAAAGTTTGAAGGGTGATATCGGCCGGGCTGCCCGGGCTGTGAGACTGGGGATGCCAAAAGCACGCACGCACGGGAGCCGCGGGGGGAGGAGGGGAAGGAAAGGGCGCTGAGGGGGCGGTGGTGGGGAAACTAAATAATCCCCTTTCCCTCTCAAGGAAGTGCCACTTTCTCCGTGAAAACTCTGGAAACATGTTGTTCCCTCTCTGCCTTCCCCACACCGGGCCTTGATCACCCACACTGACACAATCTGGAAGGATTGCACATATTTTTTTACTCCCCTTCTGGCTGGGCCTTGGCCCCTGGACACACTGCCTGAAAATGAAGTTTACTTTGTTGATTTGCATTTATTCTCCCTTCTCCAAACTCGACTCTTGCCATTGAAGGCATATATTAAAGCAATTACGAGAGTCACGCCTCTGGAGAACAGAAGCTGGAGGTGCACATATATGTGTATATATAGAGGTTATATATATGTGTATATATGTAAGTCTATGCATGCGTGCATATGCATACATACATACACATATACTAATTCTTTTTGCTTCAGTAAAAGGAGAAAATAAGCGTTACACGTATTTAAGAAGACTTGTTTATAACAAAAGTTCACAAATACACATAAAGCAAAGGCTAAAACACATTAACATATCGTAGATCGGTCACTGGTTGACTAACGCTTACCGTGGAAAATGCAAGTCATTTGCAAAATTAAAGTCGGAAAGGAAGGGGGAAAAAAGAAAAAATAAAGAGTTTGTTTATGTAAACTTCGATTTTCTTGCAGTGCAAATTGGTAAGGTTAAATACTGTCTACATCAAAAGGGATAGCTTTTCAGTTCTCTTCCTTTTTTTTTCACATATTCATATAGGGGATCCACAGAAAATAAACACAGCAGCATGTGCCAACACCGAGCGACATTCCACAATGCAGTCTGCCATTGTGTGGCGGAAGGGGGCTGCAGAGGGGACCCGAGGTGGCTGTGTCCCCCCTTCCTCTCCGCCCCTCCCCGGCAGGGCAGCGCCGTATGTTTTTGCCAGCAAGCGAGAGTTTTGTGCGAACCGCTTCGCCCTGCGCCTGCCCTGCCGGTGCCTGGCCCTGCCCTGCCTGTACCTGCCGCTGCCCTGCCGGTGCCCGCCTGCCTGCCCGTGCGCGGTACTCACTCCACTCCGGTGCACGGGCACTCGTCTGGAAAGGTCAAAATACGGCATCGCACCTGCTACCGTCTAAGGGGACAGTGTGGTGCAGTTGCTTTGTCTGTCTGTCTGTCTGTCTGTCCGCTGTGATTGGCGCTCGCCCTCTCCCTCGCTCGCTTTTTGTTTTGTTTTCTTTTTTTTCGCGTTTTTTGTTTGGGTTTTTTTTTGGATTTTTTGTCTTTTTTAAAGATAGGAGAAAATAAAATAATTAAAAAAAAAGAAAAACAAAAAAAGAAAAAAGAAGGACAATCAAAAGTTGGGGGAAGGAGAGGAGGAGGGAGAGGAGGAGGAGGAGGAGAGGAGGAGGAGCCGGGCGCCCCCGCCGCGAGTTCACTGCACGGGGGTCTGCACCCCGTGGTGCGGCGGCGTGTCCCTGCTGGCCCCGTACACGTCCTCGGCGCCCGGCAGCGTCCCTCCCGGGGGAGTCATGCGCTTCTCTTTCTGTCTCCTGTTACAAAACCACACTCTCACCACCTCCTTCTCCAGCTGTAGGCTGTCCGCGAGCGAGGTGATCTCCTGGGCGGAGGGCTTGGGGCACTTGAGGAAGTGGCTCTCCAGCGCGCCCTTGACGCTCACCTCGATGGAGGTGCGCTTTTTCCGCTTGCGGCCCTGCGCCGCGATCTTGTCTATGCTGGTGGGGCTGCCCGAGGAGGAGTCCGCTTCCTCCAACCACTTGTTCAACAAAGGCTTCAGCTTGCACATGTTCTTGAAGCTGAGCTGCAGGGCCTCGAAGCGGCAGATGGTGGTCTGCGAGAAGACGTTGCCGTAGAGGGTGCCCAGCGCCAGCCCCACGTCCGCTTGGGTAAATCCCAGTTTGATGCGCCGCTGCTTGAACTGCTTGGCGAACTGCTCCAGGTCGTCCGAGGTCGGCGTGTCCTCGTCCGAGTGCGGGTCGTGGTGCGGTGGTGGCCCGGGGGGCGCGGCGGCGGCGGCGGACGGCGCCGGCCCGGCCGCCCCGGGGTGCGGGCCGTGGGGCGGCGGCGGATGCTCGGGGCCGTGGTGCGG